TGAACCGAATGTCAGGAGGTCTGGGCTCAATTTCTAGCTACACATTAAGTTTCTTGTGATTCAGGGAAAGTCCCTTTAATTCATCATGGCTCCATTTCCTCAGTAAAAGGAGTAGTATCTTCCCCCTCTTTGTAATTAGTAATTGCTACTTGGAGTTCTTAGATAATAATGCTATAAATATGTGTGACTTTCTTACTAGAAACTGAAAAACCCCACATTTTGCTACACAGTTTCTCTGACTTCAGGCTTCTACAGAAAATATCTCTAAGGAAAAAATTTGCTAGAACTATGTAACAAAGGGAAATAACTTTTGCCTATCTCAGAGCAATGCCTTGTTTCCATTCAACTTGCAATGCCCAGAAGCTCTTTAGGGCAGGGACTGTTATTTCTATCTCTCTGTAGTGTATGTCTCACCTGTAAAAATACAGAGCTTCTCAGCACAATTTGGCAACATCTCAAATGTATGTCTGAACAATACCTAGGCGTGCATTGCCTTCTTCCTCCTGGCTGCACTGCAGTTCCTGCAGAGAAGTAACTCAGAGCATTCTCATAGCCACATTTAGGGGGACCGCACCCCAGGCTACACCACAGCATCCCCTGCCAGGCAGGTAGGTCAGAGGGGGCCAGCCACTCTTTGGCAGAGCTCAAAGTACAACTGTTATGTGCATAAAATGTACAACATCACCCCTATCAAGTTCCACAGGAGTCCTAAACAGGCTTTCTTGTAGAGCTAGGTGAAAGCATGCATTTGTTCTTCATGAAGCCCCATGAAAAATATGCAGAAAGAATAAACCCCATCTGCACATAGACTACACTTCTATCCCATGTATTCTGATCTGTACGAGATCACTTTGAGACAACCACAAAACAAGTTAGTTTTATGCACCCAAGACTCATTAGCATGTTTTTTCCATCCCTAAAGCAGTATTTCAAAAACACTAAGAAATCATAATTTAAGTCTTCATAGAATTTTACATACTTTACTTTAAAAGCATTCCTATAAGGCTGCTGTTATCTTCAATTTAGAGACAGCACAGATATTTACATGATTTGTTCGGAGTCATGTGAAGCAGTGGCAAAGCTGAAATGAGAATTAAAAAACCTCCCTATTTCCAGTATTGTGGCTTATTTCTCTAAAGAATATGGTCTCAGGGAAACCTTTGTGGGGTGGGTTTAAAATCTTTTTAAGACGATGGTAAGGAAAAGTGGAACAAAAAGATGCTAAAATCAAAGTTAATGGGTCTGAACAGTAGTACTATTACTTAATCAGATGAATCAAAAATTTCCTTACCTCAACTGTTCTGTGATTCACATATGCTACTGTCCTCCGAATTGCTTTATTGTTGTTCCAGGAAGTTGTTCCAACAGGACTGACTAGACCAGGTCATAACTTATGAGTAACTACTATCATGCAGACAGTAAGTCCTAAGCTGTCATCTACACTATTAAACAAGCAAAGTGATATATTTAACATAGAAACGTAAAGCTCAAAAATCAGCAGATGCTTCCTTTGATC